GACTTGTAGAAGATCTGCAGCATCTTGCTACAGACATTGAATGACCTAAGCGTCCTCAAGAAAAGCAGTCTGCTGTGCCACTTCTTGCAAACGGCTTCGCTGTTCTTTCTCCAGTCCAGTCTGTTGTCCAGGTGAACTCCAAGGTATCTGTATTCCTCAACCATCTCCACTTCTGCTTCCATGATGGAAACAGTGTTTGACTCCACCCTGTTTCTTTTGAAGTCTAAAATCATCTCCTTTGTTTTGTTCACGTTCAAGGTCAGATGATTGTTTCCACACCATGCCACAAAGCGCTCCACCAGCTCTCTGTACTCAGCTTCCTGTCCATCTCTGATACACCCAACAACTGCAGAGTCATCTGAGTATTTCTGTAGATGACAGGTCTCTGATTTGTACTGGAAGTCTGAGGTGTACAGGGTGAGAAGGAATGGTAAGAATACAGTCCCCTGTGGTGCTCCAATGTTACTGATCACCTGGTTTGATGTGCAGTTCTTCAGCCTCACAAACTGTGGTCCGTTTGTCAGGTAGTCTTTAATCCAGGCGATAGTTGAGGCCCCCACCTGTGTCTTCTTGAGTTTCTGGAAAAGTACATCAGGCTGGATTGTGTTAAATGCACTGGAGAAATCAAAGACCATGACCCTCACAGTGCTGCCTGCTTTGTCCAGATGACAGTGGATTGGTTGAAGCAGCTGGATGATGGCATCTTCAACTCCGACTCCATGGCGATGAGCAAACTGCAGCGGGTCCTGATATGCTCAAGTTTGCTTATTCAGGTGGACCAACAGGAGTCTCTCCAGGACCATCATGATGTGGGATGTCAGGGCAACCAGTCTGTAGCCATCATTGACTGATGGGCGAGTTGTCTTTGGAACTGGAACAAGGCAGGATGTCTCTCACAGGACTGGAACCTTCTCCTGGGCCAGGCTGAGGTTAAAGAGGTGCTGCAGAATCCCATAGAGCTGCTCTGCACAGGCCTTCAGTACTTTGGGGCTGACACCATCTGGACCTATAGCCTTGTTCCTGTTCAGTCTCTCCAGCTGCCTCTTCACCTGACTTCTAGAGATAGAAAGGTGGGAGGGGGAGGTAAATGGGGCAGCATCATCTCCTGACTTGGTTGAAGACAGATTTATAGAACCAGAAGAGTCCATGAATGTGTTAGAGGACAAAAGAGCTGGCGTGTGAAAGGAAAATGGTGAGTCAGAGGAGGATGGGATGTCTGATTGGCTGGGGACAGGCAAGAAGGATGCTGGGTTTGTTTCTGAACTGAACCTATTGAAGAACTTGTTCAGTTCATTAGCTGTGGCCAGGCTGCCATCTGTGCAATCCTTCCTCTGCTTGAATCCTGTGATCTTCTTCATCCCTGACCAGACATCTCTGATATTGTTCCTCTGTAGTTTGTTCTCCAACTTTTTCCTGTATGCCTCCTTGCTGTCTCTGATCTTGATCTTCAGTTGCTTCTGTATACTCCTCAATAATTCCCCGTCTCCCTCCTTTAAGGCTCTTTTTTTTCTCATTTAGCAGATTCTTCAGTTCACTGGCGATCCAGGGTTTGTTATTAGCAAAGCATCTCACTGTTCTGGTGGGTATGATGTTGTCCACACAGAAGTTTATATAGTCAGTGACACATCCAGTCATGGCATTGATGTCCTCTTCATATCCTTGGCAGAGAGTCATCCAATCTGTGGTCTCAAAACAACTCTGCAGGGCTTCTTCAGCATCCTGTGACCATTTTCTCACAGTTCTTCTTGACACAGGTTACCTTTGAACAAGTGGTTTGTATTCTGAGCAGAGAAAAACAAGATTGTGACCTGATTGTCCCAGAAGTGGTCTTGTTTTGGACATGTATGCATTCTTTACATTTGCATAACACAAATCCAATGTCTTGTTTTCTCTGGTGGAGCAGCTGACAAACTGTTAAAATGTTGGAAGTGTAGCAGAGAGCGAGGCATGATTAAAATCACCAGATATAGCCACAAATGCGTTGGGGTGCTGGGTTTGTAGCTTAGCGACAATGGAACTGAAGGCATCACATGCATTTTCAGCAATGGCTGAAGGTGGAATATAAACAGTTTCCAAGACTACACTGGTGAACTCTCTTGGCAAATAATTTGGGAGACAACTTACTGCCAAGAGTTCAACATCTGGGCTGCAGAGACGACATTTCACTGAAACATGACCAGGATGGCACCATCTGTATTTGACAAGCACTGCCACTCCACCTCCTTTTCTTTTCCCGCTCCTCTTCAGATCTCTGTCTGCTCGTACAGTCAGGAATCCTGGCAGAGAGACGCTGGAATCGGGGATATGGTCCTGTAGCCACGTCTCAGTGAAACACATAACACTACACTGCCGATACTCTGGTTGAGTCCTTGAAAGGGCTTGGAGTTCATCCATCTTGTTGGCCAGTGATCTCACATTGCCCATTATGATCGATGGAAGAGATGGTTTGAATTTCCTCTTTCTCCGTCTCCGTTTTGTAATATACAATAACTCTTTGATGACTTGATTATTATTATTATTCTGAGCTACTACAGCAATCAATTTCCCTCTGGGATTAATAAAGTATTTTTGAATTGAATTGAATTGTTCCTGCTCTGCACCCACGCTTCTTGCATTTTAGCTCGTTTGGGATTTGTGGCTTCAGTTGAGGTATTATTTCAGCCTTCCCAACGTTAATCAGCTGCTCCCGACTGTAAACCAGCTTGTTGCCATGGTTACACATCATAACAAATGCTCAAAAAGTGAAAAATTAGCAGTTAAAATCCTCCAAGCTTCACAGCACCAGAAACAGAAAAGTAAAATGTCCAAAAAAATACCGTTCCTCCCAAGAAACCAGAAGAAAAAATGTCCAAGAAAAGGCAAAACTTACATATAGTCAACAGAGCTACTCCAATATGCAGCCACCCAGAGCAGCGCAGTTCCCGACCAAGTATCGAGTGCATAACTGAACATAATTATTTGAAGGTTGACTTTTATTGTATTAAAAACACTTTTCTTTTATTGGTCGGATGAAATATGCAAATTTTTTGAGATAGGAATTTTGGGTTTTCATGCCACAATCATCAATATTAGAAACAATAAAAGGCTTGAACTACTTCAGTTGTCTGTAATGAATTTAGTATTTATGAAAGTCTAATGTTTATCAGTACATTACAGACAATAATGAACTTTATCACAATATGCTAATTTTTGAGAAGGACCTGTATGTGTGCGAATATGTGTATGTGTGTGTGTGTATATATATATATATATATATATATATATATATATATATATATATTTATTTATTTACACACACACACACACACACACACACACACACCATATACAACCACCCTTTCTCCTACTTGATGGCGTACAAAGATCCTGCGTGATGAACCGAAGATTTCGAATTTGGATTCATCAGTCTATAATACCTTCTTCCAGTCTTCAGTAGTCCAATGGTGGTGTTTCATGACCCAGGCAAGCCTCTTTCTCTTATTCTGACGTCTTAGCAGTGGCTTTCTTGCTGCAACTCACACTGTCACACCTGCAGCTCCAAGTCTTCTCTTCACAGATGACACTCAGACTTGCTTACTACGACTACTATTAAGCTGTGCTTGAAGCTGTTGTACTTTGAGCCACCTATCACACAAGCTGTTAACTCAGAGAAACCTGTCCTCTGATGCAGTTGTGGCTTTAGGTCTCCCAGACCTCTTCCTGTCAGTTTGCCCCAGTTTCTGAGTGTCTTTTGATGGTGAAGGAAACTGTACTCACTGACACCTTGAATTTCATTGACATTTCTCTGTAGGAACAACCTACATTTAAGTGTTATGATGGTCTGTCTCTCTTCTATTGTTAATTGTCTTTTTCTCACCATTTTTGTAGCAACACACTATTATCTGCAGTACAATACTGTTCAACTGATGCTCACGAGGGTATGGCACCACAGTATGTTCCAACACTGCTTTTATGCAGACAGAGGGGGTTGTAAGTAATCCTGAACAGTTGGAACATCTGTGGGAATTAGTAGCACCAGCTTTCAAAGCTTGATCAACCTCCATTGCTGCAGAACAGCGGTGTTCCCTGAAAAAGGCCTTAATGTATAATTCTGAAATGTACATTATTTTTCAGTTTTGAATAACCTTACCTTTTTTAACCTCTGGCAGTTCACCACTTAACTTTGTATCATTTCAGGCTATTCATTGGACTTGATTGACTTAAACTGCAATAAATAACTGGAAACAAAGGGGCGTTCTAAAACTTGTGATCAGTAGAGTATATACATACATACATACATACTGTACATACATACGTGTGTGGGTGTATATCGGTATGTATACTGTTGGAGCACATTAACAGTATGACTACACTACCATGGTACCTACTTGAACATTTTTATTAGTTAAAGAGACAATGTGTAGTTTTTACCATTAAACTCTGGAATATCTATCAAAATGTTGTTGAACATGAATGAAATGATGCCCAGTTGTTGACAAATATTGGCAGCTTTGCAACATACAACCATAAAATCAGGTCTAAAGTGCATGGAGCGGGTCTACGTCTCTGGGCAACGCCATATTAGATGACATGCTTCCTTCTACAGGAGCCCATGAGGACAAAATGTATTAACTGGTTTTTAACAAACTGTTACAGAACTTTCACCATGAATAAATGTTGTTTTACACATTTATCTCTTCACTTGTTGTCAGTGACGAAAGGGAATCTGATGTGCTTGTTATTTAGCTGAAGTTTGCACTCCCCGGGGCTTTTTGACCCTAATGGGCATCCGTTGGTAAGGTCTTACTCCAACACAAAAATACTGCTTGATTGCAATGATTTAGTTATCTACTGCCCCCTATGGCCAGGGAAATACACATTGTCACTTTAATGTTCATGTTTGCTCCACGTTGAAAGGCAGAGTCTTATTCTTGTATTGAAAGCACAGAAGGATTTTCTCTACAGCTTCCCTTGATCTGTGTGTTTCAGTTCCATTGGGCTGATGGAACAGGAAGTCTTACCTGTGGACATGAAGAAAGGTATGCGGAACTTCCCACTGAGGACACGCGCTCGCAGATTCTGCAAAGTACTGCCATCAAAGGGCAAAGCGCCGCACACCAACACGTATAACACCACACCTAAACTCTGCACAGAGGAAAGCCAAACCGGCCATTAGCACATGGACTCAAACAAATCATGTCGTCTGGAAGGCTTGGGCCACTTACCCAGATATCTACTTTGGGTCCATCATATTCCTTGCCTTCAAAAAGTTCTGGAGCAGCATACGGAGGGCTGCCACACCACGTCTTCAACAGTTGACCACGAGAAAATATGTTGCTGAAGCCAAAATCTGAGAAAGAAACAGTTTAAACAGCTGTCCTGTTGAGGGAGTGGAGACAGAGCAGACAAGTGGATGTGCTGGGACACACACCTGCTATTTTAATGTTCAGGTTGTGGTCCAGCAACAGATTCTCAGCCTTCAGGTCTCTGTGGACGATGTTCCGGCAGTGGCAGAAGTGGACTGCTGCCACGATTTGCTTGAACTTCTTCCTGGCGTCCTTTTCCGCCATGCGGCCATGAGCCACCAGGTGGTCTGTGAAAGCAGGCCATGAGTCAGGCTCAGCTATTCTTAAAGAGCAAATAAATAACTTGTTTTGCTGGTAACCTGTATAGATGAGTGTCTAATGGTGCTGTACACATGTGTAATCATTAGTGTGGCAGTTTAGTGCAACTTACTCTAAATGTAATATTTCAGCCCCAAACCATAATTCTGTCTCCATCTTCAGGTAAAAACTCTGCTCCACATTCATGTAAAACCAGCTGTGGCTGATGGCTAAGCTGAAAACCGTGACGTTGTCAGCAAATTACTACGTGGCTGCACTGCACTGGTCTCCAGGTGAGGCAGCTGCACCTCCACCAGGCTCAGCCACTCACCTGTCGATATGACACATTTTCTAACAGGAAGTGTGGATGAAATGCATCTCTACCCAGGCATTGACTCTGACTTTAAATATGTTATGTTAGCGCAACACAAGGAGGACGTTAGCCCCACTTTCCGCTACCACAGCTGTCGTCTTTACCTGATCACGACTTCCTATTTAAAAAGAGAAGGCACTGTTTTACACCTTTCAGACACGAAATACGTGGGACTAATAAAGTATTGATTGATACGTTTGACGGCACTCTGAGACTAAATGATTTGAGTTTCTGCATTCACCACAAGGAAAACGACCAGGACTTTTATATTAAAATAAACTTTCACATAGGGATGGGCAATATGGAAAACAATCATATCACAATTTTGTTTTTGCAAAATCACAATTTTATCACGATTTTTTCTATTTTGACAATTCAGACATTTTGGAAGTTATTTACCAGTAAATACATGAATACATAATGATACCCCTTCACAGACAATAGGATAAAAGACTTCAGTATTCCTTTAAAAAATCTTAAAACTCCATTACCTATCTATATCTCTAGATCACACACACACACACACACACACACACACACACACACACACACACACACACACACACACAAGAGCTAGAGATATATGTCTCAAATGTCACAATACTACCAGTAATTATTACTTGTCCAGGGGAATAAATCTATCACGCTAAGCTAAATTCATGATGCATCCTCATCTCATGCATCAGGATTACACCCCCTATCACACTCACTATTTGTCCCTTACTGCTCTCCGTAGCTGTGTCCTGATTACGCAGACACTTCCACAAATGGGAAGAGAGGTGGAGCTGAGGGTGGGGCTGTAAGGCTTGTTTCAAATGACGAAACCCTTTTTTTTTAAAAAAAAAAGAACTTTTATTGAACCTTTGCAAAACAAACAAAAGCGACTACATTTCAAAATTTGTTAGCAGCGTGACATTACAGAGTAGCTCCGAAGTTCGTGTTCATCTCAAATTGCATTTTGTAGATACAATTCAACTTGGGTAAGAAGACAATAAACAAAAAAGAAAAAAAAATCAAAACAAAAATAGAACATGAAAGGATACAAGTAAGACAGCATGAAAAAACAAATTATATGTGTATATAAATAAAAATTTTACAAGGGGGAAGTTAAAGAGCAAACAAGAATTATTGTGTATACCATCCAAAAAGCGGTTAGAGATTAGTGTTCATAATGAAATTATAAAGCTTTATAGCATTGGGGGTGGACATTTTACCTAAGGATCTCAACAGCAGTTCAATTTCATTTTTGAGATTATTCCACGTAGGTGGATTTTTGAGATATCTGCATTTGTGTATGAACAATTTTGTTAAGATTATGAGATTATTAATTAGAAATTCATTATTTTTATCTTTTAGTATAATGCCAAATAAGATATCTTCAACTGTGAAATTGTTTATATAAATTTGATTGGAGTTTAGCCAATCCTGGAGTGAATTCCACATCATAAAATTTTTATCACATTCATAGAAAAGATGTTTGGTCGATTCATCGTTTTGTTTGCATAAGTAACATTTTTCCACATTGAACTTAAATCTAATTTGTATAAAATGGTTAGATGGGTAAATATCATTCAAGGTTTTAAAATGGACTTCTTTATACTTTGGGGGTAAAGAGAATTTTAGATAGTTGGTTCTCAAAAATTTAATTTCTTCTTTTGAAAAGTTTCGTAGTAACGAGAATCGGAGTGTTGGGTTAGTTTAATTTGTTTCTCAGGAAAATATTATTACATTTTTTATTGAAAATTTCTATCCCATCAACTGCTAATATTTTGAGTCCAGGGTTAAATATATAACCGATAGAAGCTTTAATTAGATGAACCAGAGCACTTGGGATATTTTTAATCACCTTATTATATTCAATTTCAGAAATGTCAACATCATATTTGAGATTGAAGTTCTTAAGTGAAAGAATATTTCAATTTTCGTCTAAAATATGTGTCACTGACCAAATTCCTCTGTCCATCCAACTTTTTACAAATATGGTTTTGGTTCTATCCAAAATAGTTCTATTATTCCATATCGGAACATCATGTGGGCTGAAGTTATGTTTGAAAACCATTTTTCCAAAAATGAGGACTTGTCTGTGGAATTCAGAAAGTTTGAGAGGCAACTTCAGGATTTCAAAATCACATCTTAGTAGGAATTCCATTCCTCCAACTTTTTCAAATATAAATTTCGGAATTGTATGCCAAATTTCCTCTCTATTTATTAAGAAGGATTTAAGCCATTTAATTTTTAATACTCCATTCAAAATTTCAAAATCTATTGCTTTTATACCACCATCTTCATAATTCTTAATTAAATCACTTTTTTGAATGTAGTGTCAAATGACGACACCCGGTCGAATTAGCTACAACCTAACCTGAAGCTAACGCGGAGGAGGGAGCTAAGTTAATGGAGGTAGCTACCTAGCTACAACAGGAGTTAACTCTGTGGAGCACCGGCGACTTGAAGCTCACACGGAGTTTGTGTGGAGGTTTGCGGCGCTTGGAGGTTTGCGGCACTTTTTCATGAAAACTATCTTTCTGTGGATAAAAAAGTATTAAATTGGTAAGTTTATAAGTTATTTCCTAAATGAAAATATATTTTCCTTTGAGCAAGTTTTCAATATTTTTAACGTACCGTATTTTCCGGACTATAAGTTGCATTTTGGGGGGAATTTTTATTATTTTTCTTACAAAATCTGAGACCAAGCATTTCACATTGCAAGACAAGTACCGGTAACAATAACAGAATAAACAATGCGGGAGCAGCAGCGCACCACGGTCTCCAGCAGACGATGGCGGTGTTTGAAACCCTCCCAGCGGGACAGGGGAACTCATTCCTGGGTCAGAACCGGCCCGCAGCAGCGCACCACAGGCTGCAGCAGGTGATGGCGGGGCAGAGGAGCTGAAACCTGGGCCGGATCCAGCCCGCAGCTGCGCGCCACAGTCAGGTGACGACTGTGTGTTTTTACTTCCCTGCGGGTCAGGGGAGCTCACTCCTGGGCCGGAGCCGGCCCGCAGCAGCACAGCAGAGTAGCCTACATAATTTAGTATATAAGTCGCTCTGGTGTATAAGTCGCAGGACCGTCCAGACTATGAAAAAAAGTGTGATTTATAGTCCGGAAAATACGGTAGTTATTAGTATTTGAGATAAATTAGCAGGCTAAATACAATTCATGTATTTCTAAAACTTAATACTTGTTTGTATCTTGTACAGCCAAGTAGCCTTTATTCTGGACTCAGTACAATTCACCAAAAGTAAAGAGACATTATACAGATGAAGTAAGCACAAGATAACTTACTGGAAGAAACTGAATTATCATCAGAACAAGAGAGCCTGATAACAGTCATGTGAAAATAATAATTAAAAAGTATGTATGTATAATAGAAATAAAAATATATTAGAATTAGTATAACTCACTGTGATCCAAACAATAAATCAGCCATAGCTGATTAGCAATCATGAAATGAGGTCTGGGAGTTTTTAAGTTTCATTATTTTATTACATTTTTTTCTTAGATCTGTTAAAAGGTCACCATGGTAGCCTGTGTGTCTTCAACGTCGGCTACACAACACAGCAAGTGTAAGTACCAAGTACCTGTCTTGACCGCTTCATGTATGGTTTTGTACTTTAAACAGCTAGGCCAAACCTGTTATTTTTTTCTCCATAGCCATTTGGATAATTGGAGACAACTACATGAGGCGTGGTGCCCAGAGAGCTGCAGAGACCCTCGGAGACGACCTTGGCCTCCCTGACATCTGTGTCTCCTTGTTCGGTTGGGGCGGACTGAGGTGGAAAGACCTTCTCCCCTTCTTTTTCCACTCCCTGCATGGAAGAGCAGCTCCTGTTGTCCTCGTCATCCACTGTGGCGGCACTGACATGGGGGTGGTCAACATGATGGAGGACCTGCACCAGCTTCACCTTCTACATCCTCATATGATGATCATCATGTCATCCATCACCCAAAGGTGTAGCTGGATGGCAGGTGTAAAACCTGCTAAAATTGATTAGGCCAGGAGGTTTGTTAACAGTGTTATGGCTACACTTATTTCTAGCTTCAATGGTGCCGTTGTGCATCCTCACATCAGACATGACAGTCCAGGGACATTTTTGTCAAACAAAGTTGATTTCACAAATAGGGGAAATGATAAAATTTTTAACTAATATTGCCAATTGTCTTAAAGCTCCAAAAGCTGTGAAAGACTTCCAGGTGGGAGTCTCACTGCTTTTGAATTTTACCTTTAAGACAGATATATTTTCAGGCAAATAGGATAAACATATCCCTGACTGTTATAGCTAATGTGTTGCTGATGTAATTTATCTATAGCCATAACACTGTTGACAACTCTGTTCTTCCTTCACAACCCAATGCTCCACTCACTCTGCAGCTGTCTGGGCCCTTTTATTATTTAATGTTTTTGTTTTTTAAATGTACCGACACTTTGTGTCCTATTTTATTAACTCTAAATGTAAAAAAATAAATGTTTTTGCCTAATTACTGGAATTTCTTTGGTTAAGACAAAAAGGAGGGAAGAATCATTTATGCAAAGTTATTTGTACAACAGGCCCATTTTAAGTCCAACAGTTTCTTAGCAGCCAATAGAAATGTGTTCTTTACTAACTTTACTAGGT